AAAATTTGAAACTTCAAATGTTTCAAATTGACAGAGGCATGCATCAATAGGATCAACATTTCTCCCAATGAGGACATTCTCAGATCTTTTCAGACTCACAGGAAAGAACCAAGTAGAGAACTTATTTTGATACATACATAAACTTCAGAAATTTTGGCACAGAGAACTTCTCCCAGTCCCTTAACAATTTTCAGCATGTAATCCACTCCACTAGTTCCAATGTCAGAAACTGCCTCCAGTTTGAGAGGAAATGGGACATCATCAGTGAGAGAAGACAATGAAATGACTTTTTCAACAACAATACTCATATAGCTCTGTGCCTTTTCAGACTCGTGACTTCTCCTGATAGATGAGCCAATGTTGACAAGTCCCTTTAATGCCAGTTTCCAGCCCAACTCATCGTTATAATTCTCAGTGACAACCGAGAGAAGCACCATTAAGATTCTCTCAAACATGATATTTGATATTAGTAAACAGCCACCAGGGAAGGTACCCAGAATCTGCAAACCTTTTACTGCAGAATAATTCAACAAGAGAGAAAAGTCAACAATGAAGTGTGATAAAAAAGGAAGATCTCAATATTTTGAACTTTACTCATAGTTTGTTTGCTCTAATGAGAAAGCTACTTGACGGAATAAGTACTTACAAGAAACTTAAGAGTATTTAAATGGCACTTTAGAGAATATGAAGCTGAAAAGATCAAAAACTTCGGTAAAGAAAAATGTATTAGGACCAGTATGGATTTCACATCTATGCTATATTGCTGTTAGAGCTCACAATTGGAGACCTACCTGTATTGGACAATGTGTAAGGCATAAACTATATATCGTTTTGCCTTTTTGATGCAGATAATACGTAAATGGGTATGTCAAAAGAGATTGGACTCCTACCATGTATCAATAGTGCATTTACATTGTTTCATTCGTTACTTTATCTTCTTTTCTTTTGCTGACAGTGTCCTTTAGTTTGTAATTTCTTCCCTCCCTTCTAATGATAGTCTTCTTCGACTAAAATGTGGATATAGAATACATACTTCAAGAAGTGCAAACAATTTAGGCAGTGACACTTCTTTTCAACTTAAACATTAAAGGTGCTTATAAGCATATTTTTTCGCTCCATTTAGAATATCTTATCTACTTAGTTCCTATTTAATTGAATCACCACCTTAAACAAATACTATACTTGCTCTCTATCTGTTAAATAAAATTATATTTCCGACATTACCAAAATGACATTGTCACTAAGAGCTCATGGAACTGCATCTCAGCCATCATTGACGGGAAAGGCCAAAGACCAGATAAGCCATGATCAGCTAAGATCATACACATCTCATTGAAGTACCTGGAAGGCCATCTCCCAAGCCCACCACTTGTTTGTCCCATTTATCGGATTCTGGATAGGAGATGGCTCTCGTGTTAAACATTGGGAATATACCTAGATGGAGGACCAACCATTGGCCACCAAATTCCCTCGGTTGTTACATATATTATTATGTTTTGTTACATAAATTATTATATTATATTCTATTCATATATTGATTTTTTCGTCAATTTTTATTTTTCTATTTCTAAATAAATAGATTTAGAATCTGAAATAGAATCTAATATGGAGTTAGAATCTTTTTAGGCATTATAATATAGAATGCTAAATCTAAATAATAAATAACTGGGTTTTTGTTCAAATTATTCTCTAGACACGAAATCTTTGTATCTAGCTTTACATCAAACACTGAGGGAATAGCATCCTGGAATATCCACCTCTTTCACAACCTTTCAATAGAGAGACTTCTAATATGCTAGACCTATTAGACCTCCAAGAGCCCATTCATTTAACTCCTCATCCTGACATCAAAACCTGGACCTTGGAATCCACCAGTAAAGACACTTGTAAATCTCCTATTCCATCAAAAGTAAAGGTGTTTTCATGGACTGTCATCCATCCTAAGCTCAACACAAATGAGATGCTTTAGGTCCACAAACCTCACAGCGCATTGTCTCCAAATATTTGTTTAATGTGTTTTATAGGAGGGGAGACACACTCCTCTTTGTCCATACATTGGTTAAGTTATTTGGCCTAAATTGGGTTACCCCTCCTGTACGGAGAGTTCCATGTCAAGCAATCTATGGGGGAATGAGGTCGTTAAAGTGGCTAATCCCTATGAAGAGGGTTATTTTATGAAGGGTTGTCGAGCATATATCCCAGAACTGTGGGAAAGTGTGAAGCATCTCTAAGCTCCATTAAAATTAGGATATCTTGATTTCTAGCAATAGGCCTTTTATATTGTTTTTTTACTCTGTAAACGGTTCTTTCTCTCTCTAAACTCTCTCTCTCTAAATTCTCCCTAAATCTTCTAACTTCAACGGTTACTTTCAACCACTTTCGGCCAACCAAGCGGGTCCACTCTTATGAGCTCACTCGGTAAACGGTAAATCTACATTGAGAACAAATTCTTCAACTTGATATTTGAAGGAAGGAATGCAGAATGCTTGTGGATTTCCTAAAATGGTAGAGGTTTTAGAAGATTGATATTTCTCGATAGAGAAGAGTTTAAATGGTTCCTGGAAGGACTTAACGAGTTTTGGTAGAGAAGAAAGCCAGGGACTTAGGCGAAACTCTTGGTGAAAAACAACAAGAAGTTGTGGCTTACGCATGGAAAGAACAGAAGAGGAGATTTTCTAGCGCTGACGGTTCATAGTGGTAAGGAATGGTGGAAACTGGTGGCAGCACTAACCCAACAGATCATATCCGAAAAAAGGAGGGGCAAAAGAGGAATTTTAGACCAGATAAAATGAGTAGTAAAGGTGGGCCAAACGAAAAGGAAAACGCAAAGGTTTTGGGCCGAGAAAAAACCAAAAGAAGTGGGTCGATAATAAAGAAGAGGAAATTTACCTGGAAGGAGAAGGAAAAATGGCCTATAGACTCAATAAGGAGAGAGGTTGAAGTAAAGGGGTCAGGTTTATCTAGTGGTCTGGTGTGGGGTTCTTTTAACCCGACCCGAGGAGAAACCTCAAGCACAAAAGAATCCACCCCTGCAACTGCATTTATAGATTGATTCGCTGGAAGATTGGTCATTTGCGAACAAACGAAGAAGGTAGGAAATGCAGATGAGTCTGTGTACAGGAAACCAAAATTGAAAATTACACTGAGAAAGTGGTTAAAGGGCTTTAGGGCATTAAAAATTTGGGTTGGCATGCCATCCCCGCTACGGGTTCAGCTGATGGTGTTATCATCCTTTGGAATAAAGACTATGTGAACTGGGAAGATGTGGTTAAAGGGGAATGTTCAGTTTAATGCCTATTCAAGAATTGTAGAGGAAGACTTACTTAGGCTTTCTCGAGTGTTTATTGTAGGGGAAATAAGAAGGAGAAAGATATTCTTTGGAAAGAACTGGGTGAGTGCAAGATGAAATGGGGGTGGCCATTGAATAGTTGATGGTGACTTTAACATGATCTTAAGAAAGGGGGAACGTAGTGGAAATATTTACTCGGCTTTTGAGATGGATGAATTTAAAGCTGCGATGAACAAACTTGAGGTAATTGATCTCCCTCTATCTGGAGGTCAATGGACTTGGTCTAATCAGAGAAGTAGCTCGAGGATAGATGAATTTTTGGTGTCCGCTGGCTTCCTGACTCAACTTTTTCGGATCCTTCAGAAAACATTACCTCGGCCCACTTCCGACCACTTCCCTATATGCTTGATTGTTGATGGTGTCCAATGGGGCCCTGTCCCCTTTAGATTTGACAATAAGTGGTTGGAGAATGACCGCTTTAGCTCTATGGTCGAAGAAAAATGGAAAAGTTATGAGTTCAGGAGGAGTGATAGCTTTAGCATTGCTTCAAAGTTGAGAGAACTGAAAAAGGATATCAAAGGTTGGTTTAAGATTGAGAGGAAAAAGGAAGTGGTTAAATCTGATTCCATTTTGGCTGAGATTAATGATCTGAACTTAAAAGAGGAGAGTTGTGGGCTTAATGATAAGAAGTGTGACAAGAGGGTGGCTCTAAAGTTACAGATGGCCTCTTCTTTGAAAGATGAAAAAATTGCATGGAGACAGAAATCTAGAGAGAGGTGGATTGCTGAAGATGATCACAATACAAAATATTTTGATACTCTAACCACTCATAGAATACAACTTCATTGATGAAATTTGGGGTGAGGATAGGATGGTTAAAGGCAATGAGGAGCTAAGGGATGCGGCCAGACAATATTATTAAAACTCTATGATGAGGAGGGCTTGCTTTCGCCCTACTCTTGATGGCATGCAGTTCAAAAAGATCTCTGACGAAAGTTCCAGTATGCTGGAGGAGGAATTCTCTTTGGAAGGAGTGGAGAGCTACTAAAAATTTTGTGACGGCAATAAGGCTCCCGATCCTGACGGATTCAGTATAAAATTCATCTAAACTTTTTGGTACTTATTGAAGGAAGATGTGATAAATGTTTTTAAGTATTTCTATAGCTCTGAAAAATTTGTTAGATCTCTAAACTTCATTTTCATTGCCCACATCTCAAAAAAAGGAACCCTAAAGAGTTCAAAAACTTCATACTTATCAGTTTAGTAGAATGTGTCTACAAATTAATTGCTAAAGTGCTGACTATGAGACTTTCTAGGGTGTTTGGTGAGGTGATTGGAGAGTGTCAGCACGCTTTTGTGGAAGGAAGGCATATCCTTGATGTCGTAATGGCTGCCAACGAATCCAAGGATGACCTTATAACCAGGGATATGGACGGGTTGTTGTGTAAATTGGATATAGAGAAAGCATATGACCATATTAACTGGAACTTTGTGGTTTACATGCTGAATAGGCTGGGTTTTAGGTAGAGATGACAAGGCTGGATGAAACACTGTATGTCTACCTCTTCTTTCGCGGTGCTTCTCAATGGTGGACCATCTAAATTCTTTGGTGCATCCAGAGGATTATGACAGAATGACCCCCTATTCCCT